GACAGTAATAAGAGCCTGCTGTTACACTGACTTTTTTGTGACTTTCTTTTGGAGATACTTAAATGCATATGAGACAGGAAGAAGGAAATGTAAAAAATAGAGGAGAAAGGGTAGAACTAATTAGAAGTGCCAGATAGCAAATAATAGAAAAACAATTCTGAGAAGTTAGAATAATTCTCCTAGGAGGACAATAGCTAAGTATTCTTCAGGGACCATATCCTTTGAACCAAAGCAATCTGTTAATTGAACAGTGTATTTACAATTAGCTGTGTCGCAAAGTGCTTTCATGCTTCAGTGTCGCAGGATGTAGCTCATCTCCACTTCGTGTGAGTCTACAACTCAGTGGACTGTGAAGGCGCAGTCAAGAAAATTCCCTCCTACGTCGGTAAGTGGAGGTGGATGAGACAGTTGTTACAGGGAGATTCATGCAGATTTCCAGGTACAATTCATTAAAAGAAAAGATTTTTAGAGTTTAGTGCTTTAAACAGTTGTCTAAAAGATCTTAATATCACGCTGCTCTGAAGTTGTTCATTGCCCTCAAAAAGCTTAGTTACTGAAACCTACTTTTAGCAGATACTTAGTACTAAGTTTTAGTTAAGGATAGGTGGAGTGTTTGCCATAAATTTAACCACAAATAAATATTTTTAATTATAGAATTCATGGTCCTTTTTTCCCAAGAATTCTGCGACGTAGGAAAGGAAAAAGAGAGTTTGAAAAGGTTGTAACACATATTGTAGCAAAGGTGATGACTACTGAAATGGTAAGAAATGCATTTTATTTGTTCGTTTAGGTTGTTAGCTGCGTGGAATTAGAAAAGAAGCTCCCTGAAAGTGAACTCTGACTTAGTAATGCCGTACTTCCCGTATTGTACCCAGCTCAGTGATTGCCATATAGATACTAAATAAATGTTGACAAACATTTACTGAGTCCTAGTCTTGTTGGCAGGTATTATGCTGGTTGCCATGGTAAGAAACTGTCTTTGCAGTTGTCTTCATTTATAATTATCTGAATTACTGTGAGAAGGAAGCATTATCAAATGCAACTGAAATCTTTTAGATTTACCTTTGAGGTTGATGAAATATTTTAGTTTGATAGTTGTCATAGCCATGTATGTTGCCTTTAATAACTTTCATAACTTTGAAGACTCCTCATAATTTTAATACTCTCCCTGTGAGTTGTTTTAAGCTTTAAGCTGTTTTTCCCACATGCATTATATATGGTCTTTTTTTTTTTTGTACCAAGAATCAAACTCTGGGCCTCACACTTGTGAGGCAGGCCCTGCGCAGCTGAGCTACATCCCTGGCCCTCCATCATATTTATGTTGGGATCATTGCAAGTTGTTAGTGGGAGGACATTAGGCTTTGTATTCAGCCGAATGTTCGAATAACCTTGGGCTAGTTATTCGTGTGACCTTGGGCAGGGTGTATGAACTATAATTCTCTTATTTGTAACATGCTTAAAAAGATCTATCTGTCTGTCTGTCTGTCTATCTATCGATCTATCTGTCTATCTTACTGGTTGAGCGCATGAACTCAATCCAAATTGCTTAGATTCCTGGTTTTGCCACTTACTACGTATGCAATTTTCAAGAAGTTACTTAATTCCTTTGTGCATTAGTTCCTCACATATAGAGTGGGGATAATAGTACTATGTCCCATGTTCACAGAGTTGAACCTGGGTGTGGTGGTACATGCCTGTAATCCCAG